TTTTGTGTGGTACATTGCCAAAGGCCTTAGCTAAATCGGTATAGACAACATCAACAGGTTGATGACAATTAGCTTCAGTACAAATGTCTCAAGATTCCAACAGATTTGTTGTACATCCTTTCCTTTTTACAAAACCATGCAGAACTTTAGTAATTAAACCATTGGTTAGCAAGTGCTCAGAGATTGATTCGTGTATTAATTCCTCAAGTATTTTAAATTGTATTGATGTTTTTGAAACTGGTCTGTAGTTACAACAGTTTAACTTACATCCCTTTTTGAATATTGGCGTAACTTCCGATTTCTTCCACATATTTAGAACTTCTGGAGTCGCAATCGAGGAATGGACGATAAGTGTTAGAGCTACTACAAAAGCGCCTCTACAATTTTTTTAGGACTCAAGGATGTATTCCATTAAATCCTTTTGATTTGGTCACATCAAGATTCATCAATCTCGATTTTACTTTTTCGTAATTGATTTCGTAATTGCTTCTCTTTCGGCACATTCAATATCGGTTCGATTTTGGAAGTCTGGTATAAGACCTTCAGGCTCTATTTCAAATACAGATTGAAAATACTGGTTTAGAGTCAAACATATTACTTGTTGGTCTTCTGTAATTGTGTCTTGATCAAGATTGAGCGAGCGACTACGCTTATGTGTATGCGTTTTATGATTAACATAGACATGCAGTTTTTTGGAGTCATTTTTGAAGACACAAGCAATATCCTCTTCATGTTTTAAAACTGCTTGCTTGACTACTGTTTCTGCTATCTTGCATGCTGCTTTTTATAAACTACGAACAATGTATGAGTTTCTCTACCTGTCAATATGTATTGAAAGCAAAGTTTATGTTTTTTGGATAATACTTCTTTGACTTTATCTGTAACCCAGCTATCTTCTTTCACTATGAATTTAGTGCTTGTCAAAGCAATGTGTAATCTTACTGCTTCATTGTATTTATTAACAAATAGAATGTATTTTTCTGATTCTAACTTTTAATTTTTTCTGATTCTGAGTATAACTAATTATATAATAATTGGCTATACTTAATATATTGACAGACATGTACAAAATATAAATAAAGCCTAACATTTACATTTTTTTAGTTTGTATTTTACTATTCGTTCTTAAAATTGTTTATGTTTAGAACGAGTTTTTTTTATTAATATTTCAGAGAATTTGGTCTCTCGGTCTGATATCAGAACAAACCTTAGCTGTTCACAAGAACATAAATAAGACTATCGAAAGGTTTAGTGTCTTGGAAAGTAATCCTCATGAAATAAGACTAAGAAGAATAGCTGAAACATGCAGCTCAATGAGAGTATAAAGGTTATGAATTGGAAATGGAACAGTTGGTTAAGACGAAGAACTTGTATATATATAAACTATTATAATTTCCTCATAAATGTTCTTTTAATCTCTTTTTTTCCTATTTTTTATATTTATGTAGAAGATATGAGAAGTTCTGATGAGACAACTATAATAGTATATTTTTAAACTATTAAAAATATTTGTAGCTATTGTTCAAATCTAAATTCATAAAAAATATATTTTTCTTAGCATTTTAAATTTATTATAAAAGTTTGATTAAAAAATTTAACAAAAATATTTCATTAACACAGGGTGGCGGATAGTAATGATAAAGGGAAGTGTGCTAAAAATATTTTTCAAATTTAATTAAACTAATTTTAATCGCTTCAATATTTTCTTAAACCTATTGGGTAAAATGTTGTTAATTGGTAACACAACTGTTAACATATAACTGTTATTACTTAAAAATTATATTAATTTTGGAATGCACAGTTGGTCAAAAGAGACATTTTTTAGCCAAAATCCCTAAAAATATTTTAAATCTTTTTTTTTATTATAAACAGTTTATTTTATTGAAAAATAAAATATGCAAAAAATCTTAGTTTGAAAAAAACTTTAAATTTTATTGATTTTTTAAAATTCCCATTTTTTTTCCGAATTAAAATATTCCGTGGCAAGCAATAAATTTAGCAACAAAAATATTATTTAAAGTTTTTTTGCCTAAAGTAAATTATTTTAGATTCTTGCAATAATTTAGTAACTCTAGAGGGTAGAATTTTTATTATTACTATGCATAGTAATAAAAAATTTAAGTGTAGAATGGCAAATTTCCAGCCAAAAATACAAAACAAAAAATACTATGATTAAAACTATAATAATTTATTTTAAAGTTTTTTTTATATGTATTGATTAGATTAAATTAGATGATACATGTTCTAAAGAGAACGCAGATCCATATTGATAGGCATTAACAGCGTGACCCAAAAAAAATCATTTATGTAACAGCGTACAACATTGGTTAAATAATTTATATACAACTAGATAATAAAATAGGTAGTCAACGCCGATATTAATTTTCAAAATTGATTGAATTAACTTTACTCTTAAAAATGTTGATATTATTGGCATTAACGACGCCGAAAGGCAACTGATTCCAAATGTTAACAACTCGGTAAGGGTGTGCGAAAGATACTATGACTCAAAGTGAGGTTTTGACTTTTCAAAAAACTAAGAGCAGATATCATACTGATTTATTGAGAAATGTAAGAGAGTGCTGCTACTTTGACAAATTTATGTAAAACATGCGAATGCTGCTATATTGAATGAGGGTTGGGGCATATATAAATATAATATAGTCCGGCCGGGTTAATAAAATGACATTAATAACATTAGGCCGGTTTATAAAAATGACAATTATCACATAAAATCATTGCTTAGTCCAGACTAGCAAAAACTGGCGAACTATTTTGTTTGATTCTAGTAGTATGCATCAAGTACTTTTGAAAATATCAGTTACATATCTTAGGCGCTACTGCAGTTTCTCCCCCCCCCCCCCTATTTTTTATTATTGATTATGATAGAGAATTTTATGCTGATTAAGATTCGTATAAAAACATAGGTCTGAAAATCAACAGAAAGTGCTCTAATTTGATGTTGAAGTTTAAAAAATTACACTAAAAAACGCTAATATTCGCCATTTTTTAAATATGTTTTACATCAAAGTTTACATTTTTAAGAAAATCTTTTTTTAATTAGGCAACCCGGTTTTTATTGTCATCAAAGTTGAATTAAATGTTTTAATGAATGTATTTTATATAACTTTAATTATTTTTTTTTAAATAAATTCAAATATTGCTTTTTAAATGTACATAAATCAACTGAAAAATAGGGATTGTGCAATTGAATGTACACATACACAGGATTGTGCAATTGAATGTACACATACACATACACAGAACATACACAGGGCCGGCGCGAGTAGGTGTCATGTAGGGGGGGGGGAGGTGCCATTACAACTTTTGCCGACTAAAAAAAATAAAAAGATCCTCGTTTCAACCCCCCCTCCCACACACCCCTATGGCGCCGGCCTTGTACATACATCGACTGACAAATAGGGATTGGCACAACGAAATGCACATACATCGACTGACAAATAGGGATTGGCGCGATTAAACATACATGATTTGGGAATGGGGGTTTGGGTAAGAGATAAATCAGAAAATGATGCTCTGAGCATTTTTTAACAGTTTTGCATTAAGTTGTAATAGAAACCAGGCTTTTTTAAAATCATCTTTGAAAAGAATTTTAATATAACCGAGAATAAAAAAAATGGCGAATATTAACGGTTTAAGTGTAATTTTTTAAACTTCAAGATTGAATTAGAGCACTTTCTGTTGATTTTCAGACCTATGTTTTTACACGATTCTTAATCAGCATAAAATTCTCTATCATAATCAGCAATAAAAAAGAGGGGGGGGGGGGGGGAAGAAACTGCTGTAGCGCCCATATCTTTTATATTGCTTTAAATACTACTTTTTTATAGAGACATTTTGACGATTAATTATAAGTCTACACAGCACAATCCAAGATTCTAGGTTAAGAACTTTTGTTCTTATTTTAAGAAATTCTGTTCTTATTTTAAGAACTTGATTCTTATTTTAAGAACCTGATTTTTATTTTAAGAACTTGATTCTTATTTTAGATTTCCATTCTTATTTAAAGATATTTCAATAAAAAACATTGTTCCTAATTTTATAATATTGTATCATTTGTATATAATATGTATATATACTTAAATATGTATACATATTATATACAAAGAATGTTTGTGTGTGTGTGTATATATATATATATATATATATATATATATATATATATATATATATATATATATATATATATATATATATATATATATATATATATATATATATATATGTATATGTATATGTATATATATATATATATATATATATATATATATATATATATATATATATATATATATATATATATATATATATATATATATATATATATGAAACTTGTTGCAGAGTCACAATTAACAGGGGCTTGATGATAAGACTGCAGTCTTCTACTTGCTCCTGTCATTATATTAATTTTTTATCTTATTTATAAATGTATGTGTGTAAATTATAAAGTTTAATAAATATATATATATATATATATATATATATATATATATATATATATATATATATATATATATATATATATATATATATATGAAACTTATTGCAGAGTCACAATTAACAGGGGCTTGATGATAAGACTGCAGTCTTCTACTTGCTCCTGTCATTATATTAATTTTTTATCTTATTTATAAATGTATGTGTGTAAATTATAAAGTTTAATAAATATATATATATATATATATATATATATATATATATATATATATATATATATATATATATATATATATATATATATATATATATATATATATATATATGAAACTTATTGCAGAGTCTTAATTAACAGGGGCTTGATGATAAGACTGCAGTCTTCTACTTGCTCCTGTCATTATATTAATTTTTTATCTTATTTATAAATGTATGTGTGTAAATTATAAAGTTTAATAAATATATATATATATATATATATATATATATATATATATATATATATATATATATATATATATATATACATGTTCAAAAAGTTCATAAGAAATTTCAGATATTTTAAAATGGCTGCGAAACTCAGCGACATAATCTTTTTTATTTAGCAACTTTTTTTTAATTTTGGTTTTGTAAAAATTGATGCTGCAACTTTAAGATGAATGGAGTATTTGGACCAAAAGTTGTTTGTAGTATTCAAACCTAGCACCTAATTTTTTCATAAATGAAATATCATCAATAAAACTGTATTAAACCAGCAATATATTTTTCTAAAGTCGAATAAATTGTAATAGTAAAAAGCAAATCTCTTAATATAAATTTTATTTCTCAAACATGCTACAAACACTCTAATATGATATATTATATATACTTATAATTTATGAACCAATAATTTTTTATGAATATCTAAAAACAATCTAAAATAATTTACTTTCAAGAATATCACTCTAATTCTAATATTCTTTTCTTTCTATCCAAAATTATCATATTGTGTATTCTTGTTCATCTATTAAACTGTTTATTTGTCTGCAATCACACACAAGTTATCCTACCTCTTTCAATCTGTAATTTCTTTACTTCTATAAAAAATTCTCAATATAAATATCTTCCATCATTTAGCAATCTTAAATTATATATTCTAAATCATTGTTCAGTTAAGTACAGCATAACAAATCACATCACAAACCAATGCATAAAATCATGAAATAATTTATCATTTTTTATTCATAGAATAGTTTATTTTTTAAATTCACTTTATATCACTAAACTTTACTACTAAAACTCATCTTTATGTCTTTTTATTTTGGAGAAATGTAATTACTGTTCGTAAAATGCTTTGCTCTTTGTGGGTTATTATTATTGCTTTTGGTATGATTATATGTAATATAAATATCAACATTATTTTACTTCTATTCATATCACTATTGTTATTGTTTAATATTAAATTTAATATTTATCAATATTATTATTACTATTATTATTGTTATTATTATATTAATATAAATATAATTACCTCATTATAATTGTTTAAATATTGCTATTGCTATTATTATATAATTGGTTTTTACTTAAGATTAGTATTAGTGCTATTTCTAAATATCTATGTGTATGTCGCATACATACACATATATGACATATATATGTGTGTGTTTTCTTTTAAGCAATTGCAAGTTTCCAAATACATGCAAAGTAAAGAAAAGCAAACAATACTTTTCAATTAGTAAGTTTAGTATTATTAATTAATTTTATTTTTTACATTTTTTATCCTTATTTTAATTGATCTAAGTATAGAGTTTTAATTTATTAACCTGGGTAATTAAATTTCCAGTTAAAAGAGTTGATAGAGTTGCAGCATTTTTAGAGAGATATCAATGTTTCCCTAATGCGCTATTAGTAAGATTTTTTTTTTCATTCGTGATTTCATATATTGATTGGATAAAATGTAATAGCGTTTCAAAATCACAAATCCTTTTTTAAGTGAGAAGGTATTTTCAAAACTGCCATGTCCTCTAATGGGTTATTCTATAAGTTTTCTCTACTTTATAAAGTTGTATACTTTTTTTATTATTATTTAATTCAGATTGTTGGCGACATAGCTTATGTATTAAAGTCTTCTGTCACAGTTGACTCAGCAAGAATGAAGACATTGATACACTTTTGCATTATGGAATACACAAGTTGGCAGCTCCTTACCCACTGCCACCCAAATACAGGTAAGTATGCATGCATACACATACAAACTTAGTAAAACTAAAGTGAGTAATAAATTTTCGATCTTAAACTGTTTTAGGTGGCATCAGATTACAATCGGCAAACATAAAGCCATTTTTACAAAGGTTTGCCTATAAAAGATAAAAACAAGGTCAGCAAAAAATTGCTAACCTCAGGCATTTTTATGTTTTTGCTTGGTTAGGGTTAGAGTTAGGTACATTAATGTATTGAAATCGATTAATAATTAAATAAGGAATGTGTTTTTAGATACTAAAGTTAAACACTTAATAAAGTACTTGCTGCAATTTATATATATATTTATATATATATATATATATATATATATATATATATTTATATATATATATATATATTTATATATATATATATATATATATATATTTATATATATATATATATATATATATATATATATATATATATATATATATATATATTTATATATTTATATATTTATATATATACATAAAGGCTTTTAGATCATTAACATACAAAAAGGCTTTTATATCATTTAAAAATCACTAAAAGGTAGAACCATCGGTAATATGGAGATGAAGTGATAATTATGTGTGGCAAAAGATTATTTTATGAAGTTTTTCATTTTCTGAATTCGTGATGGAACTTATTGGAATACACTTGTCATGGACATGGGAGGAGTATTGCTGCTACAAGCATGAACAATAATAAAACATTCCAAAGAACAATTTGTTATTTCAACGATTAGATTTGTTGTTTAAATGTGTAAATGCTTTTTGAATATTCTTATTATATATCATCCTAATTTCAAAATAATGATTCATTTTTTCCATATTTTTTCCATACTTTTGAAATATTGTTTTATAGTTCAGGAGAAATATTATTGAAACAAAAAAATAGAATCTTATTTTAAATAAAAATAACATTGAAACAAGTAAAAAATGATTTTTTTTAAGGAATATAAATTCTTGAAACAAGAAAAAAATACATAATTTTAAGAATATAAGTTCTTATAATAAGAAGAAAAAATCTTATTTTAATTTTAATATAAATTCTTGAAACAAGAAAAAAAGTTCTTGTTTTAAGAATAAAAATTCTTAAAACAAGAAAAAAAGTTCTTATATTAAGGAATAAAAATTCTTATAGCAAGAAAAATAATTCTTATATTAAGAATAAAAATTCTTGAAACAAGAAAAAAATTCTTGTTTTAAAAATAAAAATTCTTGAAACAAGAAAAAAATTCTTGTTTTAAGAATAAAAATTCTTGAAACAAGAAAAAAAAAAAATATTTAAGAAAAAAAGTTCTTCAAACAAGAAAAAAAGTTCTTATTTTAAGAATAAAAATTCTTGAAACAAGAAAAAATTGTTTTAAGACTTTTTTTTGCTTAAAACAAGAATTATGGATTTTGCTGTGTATATACAAAAATGTGGAATTGGGTTTTATTACCTTATAAAATAGAATGAATGTAAAAATATGACTGCAATATTAAAAAATTTTTAACATTATCTTGCTAACGGAACTATTTTGCGGTCGGTTGTTACTATGTATTATCATAAATAATATTATTTTCGTATGTTAGACATATTTAACAGATATTTAAAAAAAAAAAAAAAATAGATTTTTTAAACTTTATTTTTTAGGCTTTGCCGCTCTCTGTCCCACTGTACAATGGTTTGTTGTTGATTTGGCGTCATTTGCTACTATCAAAATTAAACATTTTGAAATAACAGACTTAAAGCTTAATGGGCAGGGGAGGAGAGGAGCTGTGATATTAAAGCCCCTACATTTTTAAAAGTGAGGGTATTGAAGTCCTCTAAGCTCCGCCATTTATACATTATCATTATAATTTTAAATTGTAAGATTAATTCTGCTCCATAAGGTCTATTTAAACTATTTGGAGCACCAAAACAACAAGGTAATCACGGTAAAAACATTGTCACTATTAAAAATTTCAAAATTCTCAATTTAGGATTATAATATATCTGATCTGATTATAATATATTGTTTTGCCATAATCTACTAAACCCACCTAAATTTTGTGAAGAAAAATTCCAGGTACTTTTATCTTTAACCTAAACCCCCTATCTGGGAGCAGCGCTGTATTATCAACTATATTGATAATATAGATAGTTGATAATACAGAATATCATCTGTATTATCTATGTTGATATTACAGAATATCATCTGTATTATCAACTATGTTGCCTTCAGTGCTAACTGAAACAATTGAAACATCTTCTATACTTTTATTTTAATCAAAAATTTCTCTATTAACATCATAAGATGATTTCCCAAAAGATAATGGTTCTATAGAAGCAGACACGTCTTTAAACAAGATAATCATGAAGTTCAAGTTTTTACCACTTTTCCAACCTTATGTAATAGCTTGCAAAAAATTTTGACAAGTTTTTTTTGATTTTTTTTTTTACTCTGGTATAACCTTTTTTAATTAGAGATATATCAATTTTGTTTTGTTCGAATAACACATTTTAATTTTAATTTTCATAACTGTTTTAAGATAAATGATTATTCATGCCATAATTAAATAAGCCGAAACTGTTTAAGACTGTTTCTTAACTGTTTCTTCTGGTAATTAAGAAATTCTACAATAGAAAGATCCAGGTGAATTAATGGTTGTTGTTGATTAAATTATAGTTTCAAATGGTTATATAGTGATATAAATTCATAACTGTTTTAAGATAAATGATTATTCATGCCATATTTAAATAAGCCGGAACTGTTTAAGACTGTTTCTTAACTGTTTCTTGTTGTAATTAAGAAATTCTACAATAGAAAGATCCAAGTGAATTAATGGTTGTTGTTGATTAAATTATAGTTTCAAATGGTTATATAATGATATAAATTAGCTATTAATTATTAATAGTTATTTTATATCACTATATGTCCGTTTACAACAACAATAACAACAAAAAGCAATATATTTACCAAGAAAATAGATGTTTTACAATAAGCATGTTATAAAATACAAATAAAAAAATATATGTATAGTCTATATTCTGGATGGTTCACTCTCATATAACCTGGCTAAATCGAGGAGAGCGACCATGAGCAAAACAAAAACGAAAGAAAAACAAAACAAAAAAAAAAAAACAACAAACAAACAAGCTAGCTAATACATTCACATAAGGTTGCTATTATTTAACATTCATATTTATATCATATCTCTTATAACTTCTATTGCCATAAATCTTTTATCACCAACGATTCAATTATTGTTTTAATTTATCTTGATGTATCAGGTAGTATTTTAATTTAGTTTTGAGAGTATATTTTTAATATTGCAAAAAGGGATTGTTTTTAATTTATTTTGAAGTTGATTCCAGTTCATTATTGCAGAGTATTTAAAGGATTGTTTACCATAGGATTTTGTATTATATGTTTGCACACTCAGTGCACCGTTACAAGAATTTCTTGTAAATCGACTGCTAATTGCACTGCGTTGAGTAAACCATTCATCAAATATAGGAGGCAGTTTTTTATTAAGGCAGCTGTGAATAAATAAGCATTATTAAATGTTAGTATTTTATCGAGTGTTTGAACGCAATATCTCAAAAATTTGAACAAGAAGTTTTTGTTTTTTTATTTTTTGTGGAAACTGACAACCATTATGCAAAAGAAAAGATTACTACATCTGTCCAACAACACCCGTGATATAGTGAAATAACATCCGCTCATTTTTGTCCAAGATTATCCACTTTTTTTTTTTACTGAATTAACATCTGTCCAACAACATCGGAAATTTCCTTGATGTCTAATAACATCTTTAGAAATATGTTACTACATCAGGGAGTTTTTCTCGATGTGTAACTACATCCACCTAAAATAATGCATTATTAAATAAAATAGTTTTCCAGATGTTATTAGACATAGTAAAAACGGATGTTGTTACCCTGACACTTATGTAATATTAGATGTAATGATTTTAATGTTGCATTTATTTGTTTAACTTGTGAATTCATACTGTGTTTAATTTTAACAAAATAATAAAAATGTGTGTTTTATAAATCAACTTGTAATTATAACCAAATGATAATTTTCCATAATTTCTTTTTTTCCGGGTATTTTAAGTTCAAATATGGCATGTAGAACTTTTTTTTTTGCGTTTTTATAGAATGCCTAAGTTGATGGTGAAATCAACACTTTTTTGTTGCAGGTGGTTATTTGAAAAGTTCAAAAATTTAAAGAAAAAAGCGCGAAGTATTTTTAAAGAGTGAATTAGTGTTTTTAAATGGGACTTTGAGTGTTTTTATATCAGGATTGATTGTTGTTATACGGGGGTATGTGCAGTGACGGATCCAGAAATTTTTGTGGTGGTAGTGGTGATAGTGGGGGTAGGTGGGTGTTTTATGTTGAAATTTTTTTACATTTTGTCCAATATTTGCGTCTCCTAAATAAAAAAAAGGTCCTCAATTTCTTAGGTATTTTAGAACTTTCAGATTCAGGTGATTTGAGGGAGGGGGAATGCATACCCCCTCCCCCCCTCCCCTGGATCCATTACTTTTTTTATAGGGATGATAGAGGCTTGTTTTTATATATGAATAATAGAGGCTTGAGTATTTAAGACTTTAGAAGTTTGGCAATGTTATGTAATAATTATTTATATTCTTACTGTTTCTTTATAGAGCCCATACAAATTTATATTTAGTTATACAATATATTTCGTTGCAATAAAAATTCATTTTATATAGTATTTATTTTTATACAGAATGGCATCAAAAAAAACTTTGGTTTTTGTAACTGGCAATGATAATAAGTTAAAAGAATTTGTGCAAATAATTGGTCTTGATGAAAAATGGAATATAACATCCAAGAATATTGATTTACCTGAATATCAAGGAGAACCAGATGAAATATGCATCCAAAAATGCAAGCTTGCTGCAGAACATGTAAAAGGACCAGTTGTTATTGAAGATACATGTTTGTGCTTTAATGCATTTGGTGGTCTACCAGGACCATACATTAAATGGTTTTTAGATAAATTAAAGCCTGAAGGGCTATATAAGTTGTTGAATGGTTGGGAAGACAAGAGTGCTTATGCATTATGTACATTTGCTTATTCTTCTGGATGTTCAACTGATGAAATAGTTTTATTCAGAGGAATTACAAATGGAATAATTGTAGAACCACAAGGTTCTACTTCGTTTGGTTGGGATCCTTGTTTTCAACCAGATGGATTTACTCAAACTTATGCTGAGATGGATAAAAATACGAAAAACTTAATTTCCCATAGGGGAAAGTCTTTATCAATGCTTCAAAAGTATTTACATAATTTATCTCTATAATATCAATAATTTTTACTATTAATGTAAAAGTGATAATTTATTTTAAATATTTTAAATATTTTTTTATATTTAATATTCTTTAAAATCATAGTATTTTTTTTACTAATTTTTTTCCAAATTTATATAAATTTTATTTGTGTTCAAAGATATATTACTACTCAGAGTTGCCCAACACCCTTAAACATTTAGTGGGCTTCTAATATTGTAAAAAAAAATTGTGTCAACTTTGAGTTTCAAAAAAGGCGAAATGCATACTTTTATAAAATTTATAAATGTATAAAATAACAATAAATACATAAAACGTTTTTAAAAAACTCACTTATTTTTTCTTAATTAATTTTTGAGCGTTTTATAGTAAAATGTAAAATTTTTTTATAATTTTGCTATTGAAGCCTTGATTTAGAAAATTTTGTATATTTGCAAAACTATTTCATTCAATTTTATGTCTTTTTTTTATCTGAATTTAAAATTAAATTTAGTTCTCTTGGTGATGTTTTACTATTATGTTTTTATTATTTACGGTTCTGACTCAAAAATTGACTGAACCTTTTTTCAAAAACATAAATTTATTAAAAAAAAAAAAAAAAACACAATCACAAATAAGAGACATTTTTTAGTAGTAGTAGTAGTAGTAGTAGCAGTAGTAGTAGTAGTAGTAGTAGTAGTAGTAGTAGTAGTAGTAGTAGTAGTAGTAGTAGTAGTAGTAGTAGTAGTAGTAGTAGTAGTAGTAGTAGTAGTAGTAGTAGTAGTAGTAGTAGTAGTAGTAGTAGTAGCAGTAGTAGTAGTAGTAGTAGAGCAGCAGCAATATTTTGGAATGGAAATCTGTTCGCGTTGTTGCTAATGTTGAAGCTAATTTAGTGGTTATTGGATAATATGTGACAACAAGGATCTTTTTTAAGTTTATAAATACAAATCCTGTCTTAAAAATTATGTTCTTTAATGCTAACGCATTGAATTAAAAGGCTTGAGTTAGTTGCACCAATTCCATTTTTATAAAAACGTTGAATTTCTTTTTTTACTGCAAAACTGCATAAATTAAGAACTGAATATTTTGATTTTCATTTTTTATTTTTTTTTCAAGTTGATTAAGGTGCCCAAAGAAGTCCTTACCGTCTTATCAGAGGACACCGCGGAAGAGCATTTAATAGGAAGTTCACGCCTCCTTCCCAACCGATGTCGCAAAACTTGCCCAGAGGTCACGGATCTGAGGCAAGTGCGCTACCACTGCGCCGCGGCTGCTTTCATTGAGCAGAATACTAAGGAAGTATTGACAGCTGTTGACAATTTCGAGCTCAGCATTATTAATAATGAGCAATGTTAGAGTATGATTATTGGTGCACATGGCATTAATTTAATAACTTCACATTTTGAGCTGTTTTGTTTTATACTATAAACTCAAGTGCGACACCATCAACAATGGATTGAGGTATGTCAGAATCATCGGAATATTTCTTGAGAATAGTTTCAGGTGGGAAATTTATGTTTATGTCTAAATATATATATATATATATATATATATATATATATATATATATATATATATATATATATATATATATATATATATATATATATATAAACTACAATCCATGATGCGAGCAAGCTTTTAAGTTTATTTGCTTATAACTTTATCAGTATTTTGTTATGATCAGCAAGATCAAATTCTTTTGCAAAATAATTTTTTTTGTTAAAGATAATAATCTTTAGCATAACTTGAGTGTTCATTGTATAATGGTTTTGGAAGAAATTAAACTTTTAATTAGAGACCCAGAGGTGTTAGGTGTGATGGACAATAAATTATGGAATAATGCGGATGTAATAGCAATCAGACGCAAGCGGGTGTAAATAGCAATATTCAAGGCTTGGGTTTGACAACCGTTTTTGCTCTTAGAGGTAGACAAATATCTTGAAAAGAGAGTATAGAATTATAATAGTTGTTGCGAGCGACTGTGAGTCAACTAAGGTTTTAAGATCGGTACATCATATTGTTGAAAAAATTTCAACAAATCTACCAAATTGATATGACTCTGTTTAAGGAGTCGAACAAGTGATTTTCTAAAAAGTTGAGCAAAGACTGACTAAATACAACATCTGAATTACCAAAACTAAGAAGGTTATTGATTGAGTAGTATTTTGGAGCATTACTTAAGATAATATCAAGAACTGCTGTTTTCAGGTTAGCTTGTGTATTAAGCTGAATCAGTTGTCAATTGTGAAACTAGTTTTTACTGGTTCAATGAGTTGTGCAAGTTAACATGATACCCGGATATAGACGCATATTATTAATGAGGAATAACCTCTGGGCAAGTATTTTAGGTATACACGAGTAATAGTTATTTCGATTTTTTGTTAGGTACTGAGTTTGACAGGGAATTGGTACTTAGTTTTATTTGTTCTGTTTTATCTGAAATTTTTTGATTTGTAAATATAATAGTTATAGCACCTATGAGGTCTTGACGTTCAGTACTTATGTATGCGTAATTGTTACGGATTTAAGAAATAATAACGTACTTATTATTAGAGCTCAGCAACTTTTGAGGTAGACGTATAATACGTCTACCTCACAAGAATTAATAACAATGCAATCATTGTTGTTTTGACTTTGATTAGTCAAACGATGAAAAAGTTATAATACTTATCAATAATGAATTGCGATTGTATCTACTATTTATAGACTTCAACTTACAGCAGTGTTTTACAAATATTTATTTTTTATCAATATTTAAGTTGAGAAGATTTAAAACAAATTTTTTATTCATAAAATAACAATAAATAAATGAAACATATAAGGTGGGCCGCCATGACGAAATTTCCGCGGCCGTTTTTTCAAGCCAGTCCGACCCTGAAGCTAAAAATAAAGTAACTACAAAACGAATAACTCTACTAAATATATTTTATAAAATATAAATTTACTTAAATTTTAAACAAATGTTCGTACTAAACCGTCTAGATAGAATTAAATTAAAAACAAAATGAATTTAAAACGAATCTTTGAACTATATCATACTAAACTAACGCTTGGCCTTGGGAAGGTGA